TAATTTCACAACACGATTTAAATTCGTTGAAATATGTCTAAAACTGTTTTTTGTTTAGTGAACAAAGTCCTTGAATCGTTTTTTTAAATATCAGCACTCCCGCCTTGAAAGACACCTTAGCAACCACACACCCAACCGAATAAAACTCTATTGTAAATGGACCCTAACTGGAACTATTTAATTACATATGCATGAATGTAAGTATCTAATTAATTCAAAATTTTTGCCGTAATATAAATATGTATTTCATTAAGCTAAGTACATTGCCCATGAAATGACTTGATTGTAAATTTATAATCGACAAAATCGTTATTTCTGCGAAATTCACACCTCAAAACTATTCATTCAGTTTTCAAGTTAATCATACAAAATTTTTTTGCAGAACGCTTTGTAAATCTATTTAGATAAACCCTACAAACTGACTATATATATTATGTGATGCTTATACATATTAATTGTCTCATGTATTATTGTATTTTTAAACATATATATATATATATATATATAATATAATGATTTGTGTAGATATGATATAGACTAAGAGCCTGAGCACAAATCTTTATTTGTTTTAACGATCCTTCTGCAGTTCGTTTTACTTCCCTCCAAGACTTCCCTACTTCCCTTCTCGTACCTACATCCATACCTCGGTTTACGGCCGCCTCGTTTAAGGGCAAACTTACTTAATGGCCCAACCATATTTATGACGACGTTTCGCTTAGCAACCTAAAAATACCTCGTTTAGCGACCAAAAACATTATACAATTTATATATAATATTATTTTACTTATGTATAGTATATATGACTTGCTTGAGTTGCTCTGAGTAAATTATTAGTATGCAGACAAAATACATATCAAAAAACAGGTCATATCAACTTTTAAGAAATGACAGAGAACAGCTTACGAATGAGAAACTCCTAAAGCTAGATGATCCAGTTGACTTCGATGAGAAAAAGGCTACCATATCAGATAATAGCGTTAAATTAACATTCCAAATTCTGAAGAAGTATTTTGATAAAATTGCAAATTCACTTCCCTATCAAAGCTCGGACGTTGCCAAAAAAGTTAATGAAGCTATGTAACCATAAAAAAAGTTCTTAAAGAGCAACAAATTAAGTCAAACAGTTAATATGACGTTTATTTCTTAAGCAATCTTAAAAATATATATATCAGTAAATAAATATATATTAGATTTAGTGATAAAATATTAATTTATTTTTCTTTTTTTTCTTTTGGAACCAGTTTAATTATTTTCCATACATTTGTATGGAATTACTTGTTTCGTTTAACGGCATTTCGTTTTACGGCCAACTTTTTTGGAACGAGTAAGGGTCATTAACCGAGGTATGAGTGTACTTTGTAATCACTACTGATTAATTATGCATAATTATTTAAAGGTTCTTTTAGCATTTCAGAAATATCTTTACAGAGTTATGATCTGTGCTATCCTATTGATCTAATTAAATTATGGCACAGAGTATTAAGAGTTGATCTATGTTAGGCGAACACTTAGACTTATATCTTCTAACAGAAGGATTGCAAACACAACTTCAACATTTGAAAAAAAACTATTGCTTTATGAAATTAATCGGTTTGTCTCCGAGTGGAAGAGCTGACAACTGTCAGCACGCGCCTTC